TGCGAGGGTACTTACGGAAACAAAACAGCCTCACTCACTTGTTTATTTACCCCCCGCGTACAGCCGTGTCTACCACCTCCAACACATCCCAGTTCTCTTTTTCCACGCACCCACCGCCAACCACCTCACCCTTTCCCTCTTTCTCAACCTACCGCGTATCATTTTCCACATTGTAACTATATTTATAGTCTTTGTCTTCCTTTCTCTCCTCATCAGTATCTGAATTCTGAAGAACTTCTTCATAATTCATTCTATTACCATTCTTACTCTTATCTCTATCCTGAACAACTAAGCGAAACTACTACTTGCTAGCAGAGTTGAGAAAAAACAAAATGCACAAGATATCTGGAGTTGCTAGTAGAGCATTGAACCTCCTACGTCTGGCCCTGCTATGGAGCAGGAAAGGTGGTGTGTTCAAAAGAAGACTTATAGTGGACCTAACCAAATACCTCAAAAACCTTCTCCATGGCACTGAACGTGGTGCTCTCCATTACGGAGAACGCGAGTTCTCCTTCGACGACACTCCCGTTTTCCATGTCAAGATGCATCGCCCGGTAGCCTCGCGGTTCAAGTTGCCTCGCATCCCGTGCATAAACCCACAAGTTGATTTCGCCCATGATTTTGAGTTCGATGACGACAATGAAACAAAAGATTATTGCTGTTACGAAGCGAGAAATAGTTTTCTAAAAGGTGCAGATGACGATGATGATGAATGTGAAGGTTGTCAAGAGATGATCCCATTCGATGAAGAAGGGATTGATCTCAAGGCAGAGAAGTTCATAGCCAAGTTCTACAACCAAATGAAGCTACAAAGACAGAGGTCATATATTCAGTACAATGAGATGCTTAATAGAGGTTCAGGTTGATCCAAATGCTCTCGAGAATCAGCTCTGTTCACTCTGCTTATTTTGTCCAATTTTCGAATACAGGCATGTAAGAGCAACTCCAATGGGAGTGGTTTACAACTGCTAAAATATCATCTTAAATTTAAATTTTTTTACTGGGATGACNTTCGAATACAGGCATGTAAGAGCAACTCCAATGGGAGTGGTTTACAACTGCTAAAATATCATCTTAAATTTAAATTTTTTTACTGGGATGACATCAAGGATTGAGAAATGACAACAATGATCTTGGGCGACAATTTTCTAAACTCTGAAGAGAAAAAAAAAAAAAGAGGTTGTATAAAAAATTTATGTGTTTGTTTAGAAAAATTATAGCAGAAAGAGAGAAAGGTTGCAACCAAAGTTAAGTTTAATTATATTTTTTAATAAAAAGTATTAAAATAACACCCTATAAGTTTAATTATATTTTTTAATAAAAAAATATTAAAATAACACCCTATTTTGACACCTGTTATTAAAACAAATTTATTAATTCAGAAATGCTAAAACACTTTTCAACGTTGCAAATAGATAATATAGCATCCCAAATTGACAACTCCCTTCGNAAACAAATTTATTAATTCAGAAATGCTAAAACACTTTTCAACGTTGCAAATAGATAATATAGCATTCCAAATTGACAACTCCCTTTGGTGTTGCATTGGGGCTTTTTTTTTTGTAAATACCCCAAGCCTTGCACCGAGTCTTCAGAGTTTCAGAATAAGAACTTTATTTCCATTCTTTCTTAACTTCATCGTGTCGTGAATTTCTATGCTTGTAAAACTGAAAAAACAAAGACAAAAAGAATACTTAAATATTAAAGATTTGTTTTAAAACGATCGAAACAATCAAAAAAACATTTATGTTTTAAAGAAATTGAAACAAAATAATAATTGAATCAAAATTCTAATACTTTGAGTATTTCAAAATATTTTAAGATGTTTTGACATAATTCAACTAATGTTTCATAATATTTCAAATGTATTTCAAGATGTTTCAATATATTTTGATTAATAATTTGAAAATAAATTTTCAAAATTTTTATTCATTTCCATTATGTTTCCGAGACGTTTGCAAAACATTTTCGTTTTTGAGATGACCGAAACAATAAACCGAAACAAAATATTTATCATTGCGAATACTATAACATACTAAGAAGAGAGGTAATGAGGCGAGACAATTGAGGATTCCAATTGCAACCGCCTCTGCAAAATATAATATGCCCATGTTAAAGCACCAAAGCAAAACTTGTATTTAAATTAAAACCCACACATAAGACAGAATTATCAACTACTTCAGTTGCAGGAAGGAGCCCATAGCTTTCTGCAATTTGGTCTCCATTGTATCTCCTCTTAAGGATCCACTTCTCAGAAAACTTAATGTGCAGGTTCTTCAGCTTAGACCAAGGCTGATTTCTGCACCCAAAGGAAAGAGAAAAAAGCATAAATTCAGGATTCAAGCAAGTACCCTCGAGGTTTGCATTAAAATTTTGCACCTGACCAGATAAATAGGCAAAATTACAAGTGCACCCTAGTTGTCACTTAGATAAAGTGTGTGGAATGGCCTCACAGGGCTGTTGATGCTATCATCAGAAAGTCACAGATGGGTAAAGATTGTAGCAGGACACCTTTGTGCATCCAACCAAAGCCCAACCAGATCACGCTATCAAGGGCTAGCTCAATGGCTTCTGGCCCCAACCAATTTAGGTCAGAAGCAGGAGTGAGCAAGGAGAACTTCCAATCTAACCAATTCAAAAGTAGGCGTGTGTGTGAGTGTGTGTGTGAAAACATGTTTTTTTTTGTTAAGTGTGTTAAAACGCACTTGCATGGATGAAAAAGCATGGAAGTGTGTGATATCAATATGTGAACCGAGACTAATTCTGGAGCCAACTTTGGTTTTTCCATGAGATATGAGTTCAACTCAATGAAAAGGGATGACCAACCGGGGTCCAAACAAATGCAAGGGGATCAGGCACACGGACAACCAGAGCACAATGACGGAAATTTAAAATTTTCATCCTTTCAGAAATTAAAGTACCTTGCAAGTATGATTTAGAAGTCCAAACCATTGACAATTTGTTCATAGGCTTCCATTCTGATGCTTATTAAGATATGGTTCTAACAGCCCTGTTGCTGCCAATATAAGACCTACAGTTCAATAATGAAATGTTAAGAGAAACTAAAGATGTTCAGTTGAAAAGGAATTTATCAGAAGACATAAATTACCACCATTACCACTTCCCCCCCCCCCTTTTTTCTTTTTAATTTTTTTGCCCTCTTCTCCCTCCCCAACTTTACACTACAAAGTTCGGGGAAAATTAGAAAGAAAAGGTCATCAAGATTGTTTCTCAAGAGGCCTATAAATGCTCCTAAAAATGTCCACAAAAAAAACAAAAACCAATAACTATGATCCAGCACAAAGGCTTTGTGATACCTCCTATAATGATATGCCTATCATATAAAATACACAGCTCAAGCACAGATAGTGTATTTGGAAATGTAAATCCCTTGACCCAAAAAAAAAATGTTAATCCCTTGACCCAAAAAAAAAATGTAAATCACTTGACCCAAAAAAAATGTTAATCCCTTGACCGATCAGTACCTAGAAATAGAGCTGAAGGCCTGCCAGGCCGTGACTTAAATTCTGGATGAAACTGTGCTCCCACATAGAATGGATGACTTGGAAGTTCTAAAATCTGAAGAACACAGAGACAAAGATCATTAAAAAAAAAAGATAGAGAGAAACAAAATTTAGTTTGTTCTTTCACGCAGATAAAATAGCAAATAGCAATTATAGAGGCTGAAACCACCAAGCTTGAGCACATGATCAAGGTAAACCAAATCCAAGGCAAAAAAGAAAAATGAAAACAAGAAGGGAAGGGCTAGGAGGAAAAAGAAAACAAAACGAGGTGATTGTTTAACTTCGAAACTTCAAAACTATTAATATAGGTGATCTTAAGCCGAGATGACCAGTCTACCAGAAAACCAACCTCCATCCTTTTCCCAGTTTCGTCCTTCCCCACAAATTTTAAGCCAGCTTCCTCTAAAATGCCAACCACCTCTGGGTTCACCTGCACCATACATCTCATGTCTAAGCATATAATTCTATGTGCATGATAATAATATAACATGCCCATCAAAAGTTTTTGTTCAATGAAATCAGGTATCATGTTTAACCTCATATCTATGCCTATGTCGCTCATCCACATACTCTGAATTATGATACCTACAAACAGAAAGAAATTGTATAATTACGAAGCATTTATTTAATCTAAATATTCTCTGTAGCAAAAAATGGAAGCAGTGTATTACAGACCACTGATGCACCAAACAGCAACATGTGATCTGTTAGCAAAGAAGGAAGAACCAGCAAAGACAGAGAAACATAGAACGCAGAATTTAGCGTTCAACCGATATTCTTATATCATGTTTCCCAGAACCCTATATTTCATAATAGCCTTAGTTAAATCTGGGCAAATATTTTGAGGGTTTATTATATACTGCACTAAAGATTACTCTTCGTTAATTTTCCATAATTGAGTCAAGTAATAGATACAATCTCATACAGCTTTGCAGTGATACAATCAGGGGTCTGAAATAAAGTTCTTCGACAGCCAAGTCTCATTGTGCTTCCCATGTGTGTTTTTGAACCCTGCATAGGTGGATACAATATGATAACCTTAAATCCATGTAATAAGAGTTAGCCGAACTTAATAGCTCTTAAAAATATCACAATGAAATGCAAGTACCTCTGGCATGAAAATTACAAATGGATCAGGTGTCTCTGCATCAAACTCCGTACTGTTTGCCCTCTCCAGATCCAAAACCTAAAACATATGACCTATGCAAGGGTAACAAAAGGTGTAAAAAATAATGCCAAAAAAGTATAATTGAAGGAAATCACTTACAGATCTAGCAAACTCAATCACAGATATCTGCATTCCCAAGCAGATCCCAAGATATGGAACTTTATTCTCCCTAGCATACTTTGCAGCCAATATCATTCCCCTCACACCACGATCTCCAAATCCACCAGGAACCAAGACACATGCTGCATTCTGAAAACGTAGTTCTCATTCGTTACTAAAATTTGGTACTAATTCCCAACTTCTTCGTCGAATTTTAATGCTAAAAAAATTCACCAGTACACTGTACAGCCACATACACACATATATACATACAGAGATAGATAGCTATGAGAAAGAGGTGCATAGTATAGAAGATCATAGGGAGTATAGTAGAAAGTTTAATCACAATAAACAATCACCAACTCAAATCAATTCCAAACAAAGGTCTGCCTCACTGTTGTCGTCTCTGATAATGGGACCTCCATCAATTTTATATTTCTATTCTCTCTATAAAAGTGTGTACAATGTCATCATTTTCAAACCCTTAAATGAACCCTAAAATTGCCAGTAACGGGAAAAATTCAAACAGTTCAGCTCTTTTTTTGTGACTGCAATATGTGTCGTGAGCATATGAATCATACTATATATCTAAAATCAGAAGAGGTCTCAAAACCACAAAGTTCATCGGTTGATTCACCTGGTCGTCAACCGTTGGCCTGATCCAGGGCTCCTTGAAAAACTGGTTTTATGCATGTCACAAACCTCATGGTATGGCAAATTAACAAGTTGTCCATAGAAAGCTTTATGTGAGTAGGTGCAAGAAGGCAAAAAACAGTCTAGTGTATAAAATATCAAGCTTACCCTTAAAGTTTCCCATGCAGTAGCATGCGCTTCAGGTGTCTGGATGAGGAAAACAATCAATAAAATCAGACATAACTCAGAGATAGATACAACAAATATAGCAAAAGATGCAACTGGCAAAAGCTTCATACCAATTTAGCACTATCATCTTCAAGATCCGAAGCTGCAATCCAATCAACTGATGGCTTCAATGAACATGCAATGCAGGCATGCAGAAGGGCCTGCAAGTGAAATTAACCAAAACAATAAGAACTAAGTAGTTAGCATCATACAAGTTTTATTCTAACAAGGACCATTGTTAAATAGCTTCTGCATTAGAAAATGCATTATATCAAAATGATTAGTGGGCAAAATATATCACAAATAGATTTCAACCCTATCATTTCTCCAATGAATACAACATCCCCACATCAAACCAATCATTGTCATAAAACATCCAGATAATGCCTACAAAAACTCCGTATATCTGTGACACTCCACACTGGTGATCAGCCTAACAACTGAAATTGTTTATTTGTTTTTGGTTGGTGCGGTGCATTTCATGCTGCCTCCTAGCATGTTGTACTCATGAGCAACATTTATCTTGTTAGAAACAATTACAATTGCAAAACTAAAACATGGTATTCCCACTATAAGATCAACAGAGGATACATACCATACTTTAGCTCAATAAAGCATGGCATCAAAGATATATTCTAACCTTCACAACAGACAAATATGAATCTGGTAGGCCTACATACTTCCCAACCATTGCAATCCTCACCTGCACAAAGCAACACTTTTTCATTTGCTAACAAAAAAGAAACATTTCAGAAGAGAACAATACAGGCAAATGCTACTAACAGAATTGGTAAGGTTATCAAAAGTCTCTGCCCTTTTGGTCCACTCTTGTAAATCAGGAGGTGCAGCGACACTGAAACATAAACCTTATGAACAGTCAGATGACTTCAACCTTCTAGCAATTGATACTTTGTTCAACATTAACATCGCAAGTAAGTTTAACTGGCAGCAATTATATTATGATCATCATAGATTAAAACTTTCAGATGCCTCAGCCAAGTTCATATAGTTGCAGGAAGAAAACTTTAGTATCAGAAAAAGCAGCAAAAGTCAGTCCAAATCAAATTTTCACTCTCACTCGTCTCCTTGACTGTGAAGAATATCAGATATGTGACACAACCTGATATGACTTAGAGCCCTAAACATCAGGTGTTGTATACAGTTCAAAAGAAAGCTTACCTAAGTAAGTTTAGCTGTCTTAAAATGGCATCATGAGCATTTTGGTTCTGAAACAAAAGTGTGATGTCAAAACTCATGTATAGAATACCATATATATTCAAAAAGATACAGTAGCAGTAAGAACTCAAAAGAAATCACCCACCCGAAGCAAAAGAGGAACATGCCAAATGTTTGGAACATCATGGATATTAAGAATATTACCAACCTGTGGAAGACCAAAAATCCTCAGTGTGAGAACAAATTCCATTTGAGAGGTCAGAAGCAAACCTCATACGTAACAACTTACAGCAACATGGCAAAACTGTGAAAGTTTCTGCTTCGTACTTTCCAATAAAGGCTGCCACATATTCGGAAACCATATTTCATCCCTCAAAATGTCAGCAGCACAATAGAAACAGTGACATGAAAATAAATGACAGTAATTGATGGCCAATGGTTAAGTCCAAACAAGAAGGATAAAGTACACAAGCAACAACATATTGCATCAACAGTGAACTTGCTAAAATCACTCCAATCCATAAAATCCTTTGCACATGGAATTAGATGATGCACAGATGAAACCACATACCTGAGCAGAACGACATGCCAAGAAATGAGGAGTCAAGCCTAACGCTCTCAATTCCCGTACACTATGTTGTGTAGGCTTCGTTTTCTACATGCACGTGCATACACACACGCACGCAGACACACAAAAGAGAAGGTTAGAAAATATAACAACTTTAATCACTGCAAAGAAATTCACACCACAAGGATATAATAAAGCTTGCAAATTACAAATGCCATTAAATATTAAGGCATGGAGTATTACTTGCTCACCCACAACACCAAGTACAGGTATAAGGCTCACATGAATGAGGCAGAAGTTATCTTGCCCTGAGGAGGGAATTCAAATAAAATAACATGAGCACATAATTGAAACTTCGACAAAATGAAAACTCAAAACACAGGTGCACAAACACATTATACAGCAATAACATGTCACTATCTGTGTCCACTAACACTGGAAATAAATATAAATAACTAATAATAAATCACAAATGGATATCCAAATCTCTCTATTGCCCAGCCCCATTAACATAGGAATAAAACAGTTCAATGATCATAAAACAAGACTAATGAATTTACAAAAGTTCCACGAAATTCAACTACACAATCCTGCTTGCAAAGTATCTTGTAAAAAAACATACAGAGCTCCTTCATCACAATTCCAGTTTTTTGAGAGCACTATTGAAAAGTTCCAAAATGATGTAGGCTAAGCGGCACATGGGCAATTTTTGGAACCAACCAGTGTCTAATAACAGAAAATGATGCAACCTTACCAACTGAGAAGAATAGTTGTCGCAAAGCCTCTATGAACGGCATTGACTCAATGTCACCTAAGAAGAAAAATACTATGAATCATCTCTGGCAGAGAGTAAAACATATAAGAGGGAAGTGGGGAGAGTGAGATTTTATTGTATAAGAAATCTCTTACCAACAGTTCCTCCCAATTCTATCACACAAACATCTGCTGGGCCCTCTTTCCCATCCACGGGGATGACAGAAACTAACTCTACCCAGTTTTTAATGGCATCTGTGATGTGTGGGACCACCTGAAATTCACTCACAGGCAAAAATACAGTGAGCAATACATCTTCTAGCATTTTCAAATAATAACTACCAAGAATTGGTAAATGTAACATCACCTGAACAGTCTTTCCAAGATAATCGCCTCGCCGCTCCTTGTCAAGTACAGACTGATAGAAAAGAAAATGAACAGCTTGATTGAGTGAGCTTCTACATATCAAGAGAGTGATAAATTAGAATCAAGATGATATTGACATGCACCTGATATATCTTTCCAGTGGTAATGTTGTTGTCCCTTGTAAGGGTCACATCTAAGAAACGTTCGTAGTTACCCAGGTCAAGATCAACCTATTAAGAAACCATAACTTCTTGTGAGAATGTTGTAGATAATTTAGCATATAGTAAATTCATGAATGCAGGTGAACAATCAGCAAAACATTGAATATTCATGAAAAATAAATTTTCAATTTTCAATTTTATGATCTTAAATGTCCATCATTAAACTACTAACAGTATTAACCAAATTAAGCATGCTGTGATCTTAGTATCCATCGCAGTAAATTAGGAACACTATTAACCAAATTAAAAATCAGCAGAGGAAAATTACAGCTTTTATTCAATTTCATCACACTTGCTAGTGTTAAAGACATCCTTCTAAAGATCCTGTCATAGAAAATTTGGGGTCTCAAAAACATATACTTTATATGGAAATAAATAGGATGGAATCTATTGGCTTGAATAAAGAGCAGGTTTGAAGACGTTGGACCGAAGGAAACAAAAAAAAAAGAACCGATTTTTGCAAGATTAACCGCCATTATCAAATCCCATTCTGCGGTAGACAGAAGCTACTCTCATATAAAGATGCTATTAATAAAGGAATAAGAAAGAACCTCTCCACCGTCATCAAGAACAAAAACCTCTCCATGTTCAAAAGGAGACATGGTGCCAGCATCTGTGTTCAAATATGGATCTGCAATTCTTAAAACAATTACCGAAGATGATATCATCAAAACATACTTTTAACATCAAATTTCGTGATAATTAAACGACTACAGAACCAATGAAGCGAATGAATGCATGATCCACACAGTTGCAAACAAACGTAATTACCCATGATGATGCATTAGCAACACTACTACAAACTAAGAACCGTGTAAAGACCCATGACCAGCATGTGAAACTAGTTTTCAATCTTTTCATAAATCTATGATCAGCGTATAAAGAGAAAACATAATTCACTCTCAGATAAAATAGAAAAAATAAAATAATTGAGGAAGCAATTCCCAAGAAAAAACATCAGTAAGAACAATAAATCAACAGAAAAAGGGCAAGAAGAGTAATCAAAAAAAAAAAAAATTGCCTCTAAACATAGGATAAAGATGAAACAAGATTCAATATTTTTAGTTTCTTTTGAGTCAAAAACAGAAGATAACCTATTTTAATGGAAGTGACGCGAAGACCACAGGCTTTGAGGACTACACCGACGCTACTCGCAGTAACGCCCTTGCCCAATCCGCTCACCACTCCTCCCGTTACCAATACGTATTTCATCTCTCTCTCTTTCTCTCTCTCTCTCCGGCTGCTTATGTGCGCCAAACGTTTGTGTAAATGTCCGGGCGGGAAAAAGGAGTTATACTAAAACCCCAAGGAGTCTCCCACAGAGGACACTCAGACCCAAGGCCGTTGTCATGTCGCTCCCCAATTTATACTGAAACCCAAAGGAGTCTCCCACTTGAGGCCTCAGCGCAAGTCCACGTGAAAAAGGAGTCATTAGAGGCTTGGACAACAAGAGTATAGGGCGGCGGGTTTGGATATTTTGATTTGTAACTTTTTCAACTTCAGTGTTACTTTTAATAATCAACTGTTGAATTAACCTGAGGCCATGAAGTACAAGTGCTATAACTACACACAATCATGCCAAACACCCCCCCCCCCCTTCCTTCTCTTTCTCAAATTGTACACAAAATAATATTTAAAATTGAGCAAACGTTGTCCTAATAACAAGAATAGGATATTGATTGCAAATTGCAAGAGAATGCTAAAAAATACTAACAACACAATTATGCATATGTTACGTGAAGAAAACAACTATGCAGACACCCTCCCTAACATAGGGGTTCGTCAAGATGACAAGTTTGTTCACTTGAGTTGTCCTTTGGAGAAGATAAGGATGACACTTGAGGTTGATATGGCTAGCAATTCTTTTATTAGGGAACATTCGTGTTTAGTGTTGAATTAACGGAAGGTCATAAAATAGAAGTGTTGTAACTACAAAATTATGTCAACCCCCTCTCTCCTTTGTTTCTTCTCTTTCTGAAATCGCTCACAAAATAATATTTAAAATTGATTAAATTCGAAAAGTTACGGTACAACAGATGTGACAGATTGTTTACTTCTCTTTTATTTTGGAGGATAATTTTGTACGACAAACTCGTCATTTTGCTAAAATTGCCTAAGGTTACCACTTTTACTAAGTCAATATGCTTTCGTCCTTAGCTCCGTTTCAGTAATGGTATGGAACCTATTTGAGCTCATACTGTTTAGAAGATGGTTCCGGAGCAATATGGAGCCAAGTATATCCCTCGAACATGCCTTCAAATTCAACTATTCAAAAATACTTTCTCCATCTCAAGACCTCAGCGCGACACGTTTTATTATTTTTTAGGAAAATTTTAATTACACCTTTTCTATTTTATCATATCTTTAAAGACACTCTCTCAATTTTTTAAATATCCAATGATACTCCTTGTCAGATTAAAAATGTTAATTAAAATGTAATTTTACTAAATTGTCCATGATATAATTAGGAAAAACTTCATCTACATTCCATCTAGATAGATATATCTTCAATAAGACCCCGTTTGTTTTAAAAAAAAAATTATGTATTAAAATTTAGACCAATTAAAATTTGATTCAATCTAATTTTTGATTTGATCTAATTGAAATTTGAGTTAATTAAAATTATATTTTTTTACGTTTTAAAATTTGAACCGATTAAAATTCTATTCGAGCTGATTATATCAAATTTTAATAACCTCGCATTGAATTTTAATCTGTCTGAATTTTGATATAAAAAAGAAATTTAATCGACTTAAATTTTAATACGTAAAAAATAAATTTTAATCAACTTGAATCGAATTTTAATTAGCATGAATTTTAAAAAGTAAAAAAATATAAATTTTAATCGATTCAAAACAAATTTTAATTGTTGCTAATAGCTCAAGTAGAGCTCAAATTGGTTTGAATTTTAATGCATAAAAAAGAAATTTTAATAGGTTTAAATTTTAATACGTAAATAAAATAAATTTTAATCAACTCGAATCGAATTTTAATTAATTCAAATTTTAATATGTAAAAAAAAAAAATTTAATCAGCTCAAATTTTAATATGTAAAAAAATAAATTTTAATCAACTCAAATTTTAATTAAATTTTATGTAAAAAAAATTGTTTACAATTTATGTAGGGACATTTTTAGTATTTTAGATTTTTTTTTTTTTAGAAATAATGGTTTAATGGCGGGGGGTGTCAGTGATTTTTATATATAAACTAAAAAGAGTGTCAATGATGTTTTTGATAATAGAAAGAATATTTTTAAAAATATAATAAACTATTAAGGGTGTGTGAGTGAATTTTTTTCGTTTTTTCTTTTATTTCAAATGCTCTATGCTTGGTGCAATTTCAATATTCTTGGAATTGGATGCTTTGCGCTGAAGATTGTTGCCACCCTACCAAGTGTATAGCATTCAATGTTTCATGTTGTTTTCAACTGTTTTTAATTGGGCTTTATTCGAAAAACAATGGCCGGCAAGCATTTCTTATTTAGTTCAAACCTCATATTTGGACCTAATCTGGATTATGACTTTTAAGGATATGATTGTTTTTACCCGACAAAAATTCAAAACAACCTAAGAATATGATCCGTTCACCCTTTTTTTTTTTGGGTAATGCGAAAGCTTTTTTTTATTGTTTTTTTAGTGCTTCATTTGACACGATGAAAAAATGGAAGAATAAAAAGTTGGAATGATGGAAAGTTGAGGGAATAGATAAAACATCATGTTTTGTAAGAAAGAAAAATAGGAAGGATGAAAAAGTTGATGGATTAATTTTCCTTCCAACTCACCAAAATTAATCCCTCTAAAATTAGAAGGAAAATGGATAGAAAGTTAATTATTTGTGTCGAGATGTATCTTATTTATCTATATATATACTATGTATACATTAATTTCATATAAAAATATAATGATAAAATATGTATATATATATATTTATTTATTTATTTATTTTAATTTTTTTTATTTTAACTAGGGATGAAAATTTTTGACTCAACACGATAATACGACTCGAACTCAACAAAAATTTTATGACACGAACATGATTATAACTCAACACGAACTTGAAAATAACCCGACATGCAAACAAGAAATATAAAAGGTTCATAATTTTATGACTCAACACGAATTTATTACGACACGATTCGATTGTTAACTCTAATCTTAGCCATCACAAAAAAAAATTAACAAAAAAATTATTTATTTTTATTTTCCATCCATTCAACTAAACATTAAAAAAAAAATGTATCATTCCTATTTTCTATCCTTAAAGGATAGAAAGTATCCGTTTGGTAGGGAGAATGAAAAGTAAGAATGATAGAAAGTAGAAATAATGAAAAGTAGGAGGGATACACTTTCTATCCTTCAAGGATGGAAAATAAAAAGGATACATTTTCCTTCCTTTGTTTTTGGTTGAATGGATGAAAAATAAAAATGACTATTTTTTTTTTTTTGGTGTTAGCTAATATTAGAGATGACAATCAAGTTAAGCTGTGTTGTGTCAGATTCGTGTTGAGTCATTACGAGTTTGTGTCGAATATTATTCAAATTTAACTTAACTCATTTAACTAATTGTATCGTGTCGAATTGCGAGTTGACCTGTTTATTTTTGTATCGAATTCGAGTCGTATCATCGTGTTAAGTCGAAAATTTTCACCTTTGATTAAGATGGAAAAAATATATATATTTTTTATTTTTTAAAAATTTTATTTTAAAATTTTTTAAAATATATATACATATTTTATCATTGTATTTTATATGAAATTAATGTATACATAAGATATATAGACAAATAAGATACATCTTAACATAAATAATTAACTTTCCATCAACTTTCCTTTCAATTTTGGAGGGATTGATTTAATGGAGAATTGCAGAGGAGTATACTATACATAGCTTATTTGTCTTTATATAGTTTATGCTCCGGTTGGTAGTCAATATGAAAAGTACGAGGAATGAAAAGTAAAAGATATATACATTCTATCATTCAAATAAAGGAAGTATAAATAATATATATTTTTTTATTTTTGTTTTGTAGGATAGATGAAAAATAAAAATGATTAATTTTTTTTTATGCTTGATAAAATGAAAAAAAAAAATATATATATATATATATATTTAAAATTTAAATTTAATTTTTTTAAAAATATAAATACATATTTTATCATTATATTCAATATAAAATAATCATAAGAAATATTTCAACACAAATAATTAACTTTTTATCTATTTTCTTTTTAATTTTAAAGAGATTGATTTTAGTGCAGTGAAAGTAAAACTTATTCATCTTTCTTCACCAAACATGATATTTTTCCTATTTCTTAAACTTTTCATCGCATCAACTGAGCATTAGACTTTCAACCATTAAGTCCCTTTGTCCTAAATATTTTGTTGAGGATGTAAACATTTACGGTTTGTATATTTGTATATTATGTAATTGTTCTTAACTTAAATTTGTGTCGGTGTGTTTTAGGTAAGGCTGACAATTTTGTCAGGTGAAATGAGTTTGTATAAAATAATATTTCATTCATTTATATAAACGAATTAAACTATCACACTCGTATACGGTTCGTTTATTATATAAGTTATCCGACATAATTTGTGTGTTTTCCGTTAAATAAGAGAATCAGTTAAAATATTTTGAGTTTATATGAAAAATTACCAACTCGTCACATATTATATATGTTTGATTTGTTTATTATAATAATAAATTATGATTAAATAAAAATATAAAGACAAAAAAATAAATATTAAATTACTACAAAATTTAAATGAGATTGAGATATAAGAGGCGTGAAATGAAGCAAGGCCGAAAAACTTATTTTTTTTTTTAAATTTATAGTATCACTGTTAATGAGTTAAATGGGTTGAAATGAGTTTTTATATTAAATATTAACGGATCTACTAATTTAATCCGTAAACTATCTGTGCTTGTTAAAATTACACCAAAATCTATTAAATTCATGTTAGGTTGGTGTCGATTTTACGGAAGACGTCTAAGATTGGCAGGCATTCTTTTACGTATTGCCCAGACCACGGTGAAGCATTAACTCGAAGCCTGGCTTTTTTATTTATACAAGCCCGAAAAACAAAAAGCCCAAAACCAATGTCACTTGTGACTTGAAACGTGGCCCTCAACTATTGGATGAAACAAGTGGGAGACTTCTGTCATTGGTCAGTTTTGGCAAGAACACGTTGCAAGCAAAGCGAAGTCAGTCGTTGATGCCCTGTGGTTCATGTTTATTGTTCATCCCTCTTCGCTTCATGTTTTACACAGAGGGAAAAGACTCGTCAAATTGCCACAGGAACGACCGTTGATCTCTCAGTAGAGAGAGAGAGAGAGTTCAGACAAGTTCGTAGCCATTTGTACGTTTTATTGCGGCGAGCAAAGCGATCGAACAGAAAACCCTAGGTTCTCAGTAGGGAGATCCAATCTCTCCCCTGATCTCTGTGCCTAAGCTCAATGG